AATTGTCTAGACATTTGTTTACGTTTGTAAAAATATATTTTCTACAGATTGGTTTCAACAACAGTCAGAATTCACAAATGAGTTTGAAGACATGAGTATTGACGAAATGAACCGAATTTTTATCAAAATTCTATACCTTTCTGGAAGAAAAAGTGATAGGAATTACTACAAAAAACATCCTTGAATCTTGATGGCGATACGAGCGCCTTCATTGCGCATACCGCTTTCTTTATGAATTTAATTGAACGATTTTCAAAAAATTGAGATGTGTTATATTATTTTTTTCAAATAATCACCTTTGTAATTATACTAAAACAATTATTCGCCTCAGGCTCGGTGAATATCGCTGAATAAAAACCTCGACTTCGTCTCGGTTTTTATTCAGCGATATTCACCTCGCCTTCGGCGAATAATTGTTAATTATTCCCAATAGGTGGAATATAGGGATTTAAATTGATATTTGTTAATATGAAAATTGATCCAGATTACCTTTTCCTAAGGGTAGTTGACAAATAAAGCGATGAACAGCGTCACAACCTGTTGCCGTCCAGATTCTATTTGGACGTATTGCGATGCATGTTCTGGTATCAAAACTCTTTTTATTAACGTCGGGAAATAGAGTCGTAGCTTTCTCTCCATTGGGCAATAAAAGCGATGAATTCACCTCTGCTTTTAAACCAATCCAGTTGTCGCCACTTTTCAAATACCTTCCTAGCATATCATTCTCTTTGGGTGATTGAATACTAGCAAGTGTAGCTGGAATATCTGAGCAACGTTGCTTGGCCGAGTCCCACGTGACGCCTTTATCAGAATGCTGTTTTGCGAAGCACGAACAGTCTATACGAAGTTGGTCATTGGGACACTGTGATATTACTGGAAAAGTGAAATATTCATACGACATATTATAGGGTGTATGTAAAACTTTATTTCAAGACGCTAGCCCCGTCAACAGTACGTTGATTTCCACGGGGGGCGTCAAACAATTTAAAAATTACAAGGAAAGTACAAAAAGGAAGGATAAATAACTATATACGTTAATTGGTATTGATTAATTGGTGTGACCCTGCATGTTTATTACAGAATAAGTTTCAATGAATTGTGTTATTGTAATTCTGAATAAGTCGACTCTGGCAGTTTTGTATCAGTGGAGAGACTATTCCATAATTTAGCGACACTTTACTTCAAGCTCTTTTTGAGGAATTCACTTCTAGGCTTCGCAAGGGCTAAATCAGTAAGGTCATGATTAGACAAATAGTATTGATTTAGTTGTACATCGCCTTGTCTCTAAATTATCCCAAGCAAGATCTCGGAGAACATCGGCAGATTTGGTCTCGTAGCTACCGCTAGCTATAATTTGGGCTGCACGATTTTGAAATTTTTGAAGTTTATCTTTCAGATGTTTATCACAGGTGTAGAAAACAAATGAAAGCCAGTAACACATAGATGCGCATCTTTATTGTGAATACATAGATGCGCATCTTTATTACAAAAGTCGTTTGTGGTAGATAATAATAATCCATTGTCTTAATCCGTTGTAATCTTATCACTTTCATGATGCGAACTATAATTTAGTGACCCCTGTTTGTCCTATTTAGTCAATTGTACAGTAATTAACGACTTACCAGCAGTGTTGAAAAGATTAAAAAGAACAGCCAAAAATATTGCACCACACGGAGAAGAATGCATTTCGTTGCTCTATGTGACACACACAATATCCTCAAACGAAATTGCAAGTCTTTTTCCTTGGAAAGTAGGAAGTCGATATTTCGATAACGAATTTTGAGCAGTAAGTATTTATATACTAATTCGAAGCAAACACGTCTGCTTTTATATTGGTGTCTGTTTTGTTTACGTTGAGAATTTCCTAGTATAATTATCACTGTTTAGTGACTGCTCTTTCCACATCAATTCTTGTTAAAAGGTTGTTTTCTTGTGAAAACTTGTGATCAATCAGAGAGGAAGTCACACTCAGCATGCAAATATTGGACGTCCGTAATTAGAGACTTCTGACGTCTTAACAAGATGAATATAAAAATATTTTCTTGTCATTTTCTGACACTGCGTGCAGTGAACAATGAAAAATTCGTCGTCTTGAACGTGACATCTTTGGGTTTCTGTACGGCGACACTACACAGAATAATATGAAATTGCTTTTCATATCTCTGAGGATGTGAAATAAAAGGTTTCGATTACTGTTTTTGATTGCAAAGCCAATATAAGATTTATGGCATTGGGCTGAATTTAGACACTCCTCAGCTTGAGCTTTATGCTTTAAAAAATATTTTAGTTTTGATCGAGACGAGGATCATTGAACTCCTGAGCAAAAATTCACAGGATTGAAGCGCCAATCAATTGATTCAATTTCAATACAATAAGATTTTAATTGAAACAGATAACTTCCGTACCCACGCTTTCATCCTGTTGATGACGTAATCACGCTTGTATATAAACACACCCATAGAGATTATAAATAACACTAGAGGAGGCATCGTAATCTCACTTCAGTCAAAAAAAGGGAACGCGGCTATTGGGGGGCAAATTTAGGTCCCGGATGTGTATTCGTGTTCCCATTGGTGACGAGTTTCAAATCAGCCAATGACAGCACGATTTTATATCCGGGACTTGAATTTGCCCCCCATTAGCTGCGTTCCCAATTTTTAAACTCGATGCCTCCTCTAGTGTTATTTATAATCTCTATGAACACACCTAGGTCGGCGGTTTTCACTCGTTTCCATCCACCAAACTGACGTTATGTCATTTGATCAATTTCTAAAGTAGTTTCTTTTTGGATTTTTTAAATTAATTTGCTTCCCTGTTTCTGACAGTTTTTATAAAGTCTAAAGGCTGATTTTCACTACACAACTTTTGCCTAAAACTGTCGCATGTAACCCCTGCTTACAACTTGAATTGTACTGTGGAAATCATACATTTTAACTCGCCTTACCGTGTGTTGTGTGCTTGATTTGCACAGGAAACACAGGTTGCATGCGACAGCGGTTTTAAGCAAAAGTTGTGTAGTGCAAATCCGGTTTAAAAAGCACATAATCTTTTCCCGCTACGGCCATGTATGTGGATTTTCATGGTAAAACGTTCATGGTGTAAGACTAAAACATCGCGTAAAAACAAGAGGATTTCCATCATTTTATAATGGCAACAGGAACGACCATTTTATATTTGTTTCGTCGTTAATTAACATGCCAATTCCGAGCACCACACCTAACAGTGGCCAATATTCATATACATCCTGTTTCTTATAAAATCATGACTTTGTATGTTATCAACAAGACTTGTTTTATTAATACGCAATTCTCTCAGAAATTCCACTTCCACTAGGACCGTACATATCGTGGCATCAACAGGGGCAACTGCTCCCCACCCCCGGCGAGAAAATTTAACTATTTTTATATTGATCAGGTTATTATTCAGCCAATTTAGTGGTGCTAAAAAAGGCGCTTATCGTAAATGGCGCTTGTAATCTCAGGGGAAACAAAAAAGTTACATTATTAACACATTTTGAAAAGACTTTTTTCCCTGTGCTAGTGCAATGTACTCAGGTGAATATGATGCCTGGCCACGTTCTTTTTAGCCACAGACCGCCGTGGCTAAAGAGTATAGTGAAATCTGATATATTTTTTAGTCACAGACCACCGTGGCTAAACGTATAGTGAAATCTGATATATATTTAGCCACAGACCGGCTGTGGCTAAAAAGCATACTGATATCTGGTATACTTTTTAGCCACAGACTGCCGTGGCTAAAAGTATAGTGAAATCTGATATACATTTAGCCACAGACCGCTGTGGCTAAAAAGTATAGTGAAATATGATATACTTTTTAGCCACAGACAGCCGTGGCTAAAAAGTGTACTGAAATCTGATATACTTTTTAGCCACAGACCGCCGTGGCTAAAAGTATAGTGAAATCTGATATACATTTAGCCACAGACCGCTGTGGCTAAAAAGTATACTGAAATCTGATATACTTTTTAGCCACAGACCGCCGTGGCTAAAAGTATAGTGAAATCTGATATACATTTAGCCACAGACCGCTGTGGCTAAAAAGTATACTGAAATCTGATATACTTTTTAGCCACAGACCGCCGTGGCTAAAAGTATAGTGAAATCTGATATACATTTAGCCACAGACCGCTGTGGCTAAAAAGTATACTGAAATCTGATATACTTTTTAGCCACAGACCGCCGTGGCTAAAAGTATAGTGAAATCTGATATACATTTAGCCACAGACCGCTGTGGCTAAAAAGTATACTGAAATCTGATATACTTTTTAGCCACAGACCGCCGTGGCTAAAAGTATAGTGAAATCTGATATACATTTAGCCACAGACCGCTGTGGCTAAAAAGTATACTGAAATCTGATATACTTTTTAGCCACAGACCGCCGTGGCTAAAAGTATAGTGAAATCTGATATACATTTAGCCACAGACCGCTGTGGCTAAAAAGTATACTGAAATCTGATATACTTTTTAGCCACAGACCGCCGTGGCTAAAAGTATAGTGAAATCTGATATACATTTAGCCACAGACCGCTGTGGCTAAAAAGTATACTGAAATCTGATATACTTTTTAGCCACAGACCACCGCGGCTAAAAGTATAATGAAATCTGATATACATTTAGCCACAGACTGCCGTGGCTAAAAGTATAGTGAAATCTGATATACTTTTAGCCGTAGACCTTCGTGGCTAAAGAGTATAGTGAAATCTGATATACTTTTTAGCCACAGAAAAATCTGAAATCAGTGAAATCTGATATTAAGTCGGCCGGCCAAGATGGCAAAAGGTGCCTCTAAAGAGAGTTTGATGGCAACTTTATGTTACAAGCTGGTAACAGGCATTTTCTTATAGTTCAAGCCTTGGTGATTAAGACTGTGTGTGTTACCACTTCTGATTTTTGCTTTATAGCCAAGAATTTGAGAATTTTAAAATTTTGCCTATGTTCTTCCTTTAATCAATTTTAGCCTAATTATAATTGCCCAACATTTGTCTAGCCGTTTTTTCAAGCCACGTTTAGTAATTTATGTCTTCTTCCTTTAGGCTCAGTTTATGTTATGATGCTACAACGAGCGTGTTGAAATCATTTGACGAATACTCAAATTTCAACGTTACGGATTAATAAAACGACTTCTTGATGGTAAGGCTTTTCCGTATTTTTTTCTTATTTTAATACACAGCTAACTTTTGTCCAAAGCTAAACTCTTAAAACCTCAGTTCATATTTGGCCAACAAAGAAATGTAAAGCGGTAAAAGGGGTTGCCTTTAGTTTTTGACCATTTCTGGCAGCTTTTTGCATTTTTGGAAAAGGGGCAAATAATGGCAAAAAAGTGAAGGATTAACCCCTTAATTTTCGTCCATTTTTAGCCCCTTTTTTATGTTTGAAAAAAGGGCAAAAATGGTAAAAAAGTAAAGGTTAACCCCTTAATTTTCGTCCAATTTCATTTGTAAGTCATATTTAAACTTGTGCTTCATTGTTCATCATTTTTATTTATTGTTTGATTCTCATGTCTTTGTATTTCACTCAACTGGACGTCTGCTTCAATTGTCGCTAGATCTCTATTCATTTGCCTTTCCTCAAGTAAACGGTTCTTCAATATTTGTTTCAACATTCATTGTATCAGTCGTGATTATTTGATCCTCATATTTCTGTGTTTCAGTCGAGTGAAGGTTTTCTTCAATGGCTGCTAAATCTCTCGCTATCTGCTCTACTCGATCTTCACATATTTGCTCATTTACAGCAAATCTTGTTTCCGTATTCTCAGCATCATTGTTTTCAATTGTTTGATCTTCATCTTTCTGTATTTCAGTCAAGTGAAGGTTTTCTTCAATGGCTGCTAAATCTCTCGTTATCTGCTCTTCTCCATCTCGACATATTTCCTCATTTACAACAAGTCTTGTTTCCGTATTCTCAGCATCATTGCTTTGAATTGTTTGATCCTCGTCTTTCTGTATTTCAGTCAAGTGAAGGTTTACTTCAGAGGCTGCTAAATCTCTCGTTATCTGCTCTGCTTCATCTCCACATATTTGCTCATTTACAGCAAATCTTGTTTCCGTATTCTCAGCATCATTGCTTTGAATTGTTTGATCTTCAACTTCCTGCATTTCAGTCAAGTGAAGGTTTGCTTCAATGGCTGCTAAATCTCTCGTTATCTGCTCTGCTCCATCTTCACATATTTGCTCATTTACAGCAAATCTTGTTTCCGTATTCTCAGCATCATTGCTTTGAATTGTTTGATCTTCAACTTCCTGTATCTCAGTCGACTCAAGGGCTGTTTTAATTTGTTCTATATCTTTTGCCGTCTGCTTTTCCGAAAGAAATTTTTCTCTTGCTTCGTTGAATTTATCCTTGTAGGTCTCTCGCGCAACTTCTGTTAGTTTCATCAGGCTCTTGAAGTAGTCCTAGGGTGGAATAAATTACATTGTCATCTGGTGGTAGCCTTGGTAAAGGAGATCAGGGTGATGACGATGGTGTTTGTGATGATGGTGATGATGATGTGATGGTAGTGATCATGATGGTGATGAAAGTGATGATGATAATGGTGATGATAATGGTGATGATAATGGTGATGGTAGTGATGATGATATTGGTAATGATGATGGTGATGATGATGATATCGGTGATGATAATGGTGATGGTAGTGATGATGATGATGGTGATGACGATATTGGTGATGGTGGTGGTAGTGATGATGATGGTATTGGTGATGGTACTGATGGTGAAGGATCATAGTGGTGATGTTGATGATAGCGATGATGTTGGTGATGAAAATAGTGATGATGATGATAGATGAACACCTAAACTTATCCAAATTGTCCTACTTCTCTACCTGCGCACCGTCGTAGTAAAATATTCCCACAATACTGACAGGCACTTTCTTTAATAAAACTCTTCCAAGAACTTGTCTGTTCAAAGCAAAGATGACTGGAACATTCTGAGAGTGACATACATCGATGATGTTTGAGAGCAGGTCATCAAGACCACCTAGAAAAGAATTGGGATGTTGCAGTTTTACGGAGTATCGATCAATCTTGAACGATCTGTGCCAGTGTTGGTAGTGCCAGTGTTGGTAGTGCCAACAAAGCGTTATATACACAAAGGGCCTTCGCTCGAAGCGTCGAAATTCTCTCTGTATTTTGCAGGTAGTTGCATCCCAATGAATCCAAAGCTTTCTAATTATCGATCAACTTACGGATGAACTTACCTTTTGATTTTGTCGGTTCTAGATTTGGCGTCACTATGACACATTTCAATTTCTTTAACTTTGCGTGTTTACACACCTCCCTTAACCCGCACACAAATCTCCGTCTGGCCTTTGCCTAAACATTTTCGATTCAATATCTTAGTAGAAGAAGGGTGCACCCTCTCAATCAGATAAGCTCGCACCCCCCCCCCCCCCCC